TTTCATGCATTCACACAAGTCAGATCTGCTTTTCCACCTCTTTGAGGGAGGTGTTTAACTGACAGGGCAATGAAGTGAAGCTGGAAAACACACTTGAGAGATTCTGGCTTTTCTCCTCGGTGAGAAACTGAAAAATGTTCCAGGTGTTAACCTGGGAACTTAATATTTTTAAAGCACTTTCTAACTCTGCCAGGCTATAGTAGTTAAATAATAAAGAAATGCCCAGTAGCATGAGACAACTTCTTAGTAGTTTTAATTTTTTTGTCTGTTAGTAGTAGTATCTTTTTAAGCATACAATTATTTCATAGTATTTTTTACAGTGAGTTTATGGACAGATGAGCTCTATGGTCTCTGCATCTAATGGATGTATTTTTAGCTCCTACTTAAAGATTAAGTCATTTTCTTTTTTAAAAAAAACCTCTTAATATTACCTATTTTTATCTTTTTTCCTCTTGTTTACAGTATCTCAAATCTTGTGAGTTCTATTTTAAATTAAAAATCACATTTTAATCAATAATTCACAGATTAAATTCTATCGCATGAGACATCATTACAAATCTTGTAAGAAGTATCAGGATGAATATGGCGTTTCTTCTGTCATTCCAAACTTTCAGATCTCTCAAGATTCAGTAGGGAACAGGTAAGCATATTTATTCCTAAAAGTAGAATTTTTATAATTGAAATGGAAATTATTTTGGGAACTATATGATAAGGTATTTTTGGAGATGTTGGTATGTGTGTATGTTTAAAATAAATTGCCACATATCAGAACTACAGCATTTCCCTTCAAAATTTATATGACACACGTAAGATTACATCTGGGAGCTCAACTCCATGATAGAAGGATTTTAAATAACATAAATTTAATTATAAGAATCTGTATTTCTTTGAGTAAGAAAGACTTGAGAGTCAAAGGCTGTTTTCTCTTATTGATTTTGCAACTGAAATGATTTGAAAACTAGAGAAAATCCCTTTTAGTAATACATTTGCAAACTAGAATCTTTTTTTTTTTTTTGAGACAGACTCTTGCTCTGTTGCCTGGGTTAGAGTGCCTGGCGTCAGGCTAGCTCACAGCAACCTCAAACTCCTGGGCTCAAGCGATCCTTCTGCCTCAGCCTCCCTAGTAGCTGGGACTACAGGCATGCGCCACCATGCCC